TGAAGCAACGCTTTGTGCGAGCATACGCCAAGACGAAGGAGTTCGAGAACGCAGACAAGTTCGAGAAGAAGGATGGACTCTTCTTCGTGAAGTCGAAGGATCAAGTGTGGAAGTTGTGCGTTCCAAACGACGACTACCTCAAGGGCGAAATTATTTCGCAGAGTCATGACACAAGCACCACGGCTCATCCCGGCGTACGGCGAACGCAATTGCACATTGCGCAATGGTACTATTGGAGCGGTCTTGAAGAAGACGTGAAGCTCTATGTTGCGGCGTGTGAAACTTGTGCGCGATACAAGTCAAGCAGCGCCAAGGCGAATGGAAGAATGATTCCGATCGAATCGCCTAAAGAATGTTGGCACACCGTTTCGATGGACTGGATTACTGGTTTACCGGTCTCGAACGGAAAGGATGCCATCATTACGTACGTTGACAAAACATCGAAGCGTCCAGCATACTGTGCGACAACGTCGAATATCGATGCTCTCCAAGCAGCGAAGGAGTTCTTCGATGCAGTCGTGCGATACCATGGTTTGCCAGCAGTTGTCATCAGCGACCGAGATTCCAAGTTCACGAGTGAATTTTGGCAAGCGTTGATGAAGATCATGGGCGTCAAGCATAGCATGACGACGGCGGGTCGAGCGCAAAGTGATAGAGTCACCGAACGACAAAATCGGACCCTCGAAGACGCTTTGAGATGTCAAGTCTCATACATGGGTCACGACTGGTCAGAACATCTTGGAACCATCGAATATGCACATCAAAGCATAGTTCAAGCGTCAACGGGTTAACGCCATTTGAAGTGGATACGGGACGAAAATTACGTAACCCAGCGCTGAACGAGATCGACGCACTAAACGAGTATGCAAAGAACTTCGCGGAACACCGCAAGGAACTCGTGCGCATGGCACTTGACAACCTCGAGAAAGCACAAGCCCGACAGAAGAACTACTACGACAAGAAGCGATCGTTGGTAGAGTTCAAGGAAGGCGATTATGTTATGCTGGCGACGCAAAACATACTGTTGAAGCATGCTCAAGTCAAGAACAAGAATGAAAAGGCGAAGCTCGTGCCACCATTCATTGGGCCGTTCAAGATACAAGAAGTTGTGAACGCCAATGCGATGCGGTTGAAGCTGCCACGAAGCATGAGCAGGCTTCACGATGTCTTCAATGTGGATCGCTTGAAGCATCATGTCCAAAACCCAGAACGATTTCAAGGAAGACCAATACCCAAAGCAACTCCTATCCTTCTCGATGATGCGGGGAATGAACTGCACATTGTTGAAGCGCTGTTGAAGCAACGGCAGTTCAACCGCAAGAAAGAGTACTTGGTCAAATGGCATGGTTTGCCCGAGCACGAAGCAACTTGGGAGCTTGAGCGCAGCATCAAGCATGTCTCCCATTTCAAACGATTGCTTAAAGACCTGTGTACAAGAATCCAAGCTGCCAAGTCGACAACCGGGGGAGAATGTAGTGATGGCAAGGTTGCCGACCAAGAATACAGCTTGTCGCATCGTTAATAAGAACGATGGCAAGACTGTCGAACAAGCTAAAGATTGTCGCACCATTAGCGGGCAGAGAAAAAAATCATTTACTTCATGTAGTTTAGTATAGTATACATTTTCGTAGTTAGTAGTTTAAGACGACAATCTACCGTTACAGGTTGCTTTGCGTTTCTTGTACTTGAGGTGCGGTGCCTTGGACAAGATTCGACGAACCGTACGAGTCGAAAAAGTAAGATTTAGGTCATGTTTAATCCTACTTGAGCTGGATCGTCCTTCAGATGCAAGACGAAGGACGCGTCTTTTGTCCCTGGCATCGTATTTGGCAGGTCGTCCAGCACGAATGGGAGTCCCATAAGTCTCAGGCGACCTTAGGTAGCTGCAAACAGCTCCTTTGGACACACCAAGCTCGTCGGCAATCCGGCGAATGCTGAGTTTGGCCTTGCGAAAGGCCACGATAGATCCACGCTGCTCAAGCGTGAATGCGTATCCTTTTGGCGTGTGTGAGTCGTAGTAGTGTATATAGGTGGTTCTACCAGTCTTGGGGTGGTCGTAAATTGCCGGGGTATCAATGATTGGGTACAATCTGTAGTTAACAGTTCAATAAATGCAGGGACAATCAAACTCACTCCGACCTTAAAAGGTCAGACAGGGAACGATCGAGCTGCACTGGAATGCCTCCTGCATCACATTACGATAGGACATGGCTCCACAATAATCATCAGGCACTCCGTCCGTCTAGAACTGTAGTCCTTGAGCGCTATCACTTGTGAAGCAGCACAATACAATTGTATTTGTTACCACATGTTGTACACAAACAATATCCAAGGCATTCGTCTACTAGTATTGATCAGACCACGTGGCTTCTTGGGCGCCTCGGACCAACGCCCAAACTCCGACAGCTCCAAGCAGACCCCAATCATTTCGCCAGACTTGAACAACTGCCACAACGTTATCACTTCGGCATTTGTTGTGTTTTTAGTATCGGAGCTTATGGTCACCTAGAAGGTATCCCTCACCTTGCGTATTTAGGTGAATTCTTCGAGCTATCGGAGTATAATGCAGTGACAGGACGAACAAGAACTAATTCAGTGACAGGACCAACTAACACGTATCCAGAGACAGGTCAGCGTTTGTCGACAGGACGCGCTCGGGACTTTGCATAGATGTTGGATTGAGTTCTGGGTGCCACAGAAGTACTCACAATCCAAATCGCCACCAGCGACCCAAACCACCATTGGCAACATGGTCTACCAATCCATGATCATGATCCTCGTTGGCGCGATCGCCTCGACCATGTCCGCGGCGTTTCAAGACGATTTCCCAGCCAGCGACGTGCAATTCGTGGAGCGCACCGGAGTTCCAACGCTTACCATTCGTCCCGACACTACCACCGCTTTCCCCCGCACGACTACAGCGTATCCGACCACAACGTTCTCCACAAGCACGACGACAGCCAGCCCGTTCACCACCCAAACTCCAACAACGACAACTAAGGCTCCGTCGACTACAGCTCCTCCGGTTACCTCAACCGCGACTCCTAGTACTACATCTGCGGCGCCGGCAACGACAACCACCTCACCCAGTACTACAACTTCTACTCCGACGACAACATCCTGGTCCGTTCTGACCACTACCTCAGCCCCGGGTACGACGACTGTAGCTCCAACTACTGCACCTGCAGCCCTGGCTACCACCACCATTTCGCCCATATCTACATCTGCAGCTCCGACTACCACAAGCATGAGTCCCATAGCAACCTCGGCAGCTTCGGCTACCACTTCCCCCACTACGACGACTTCGAACCCGGCTACCACCACCACTTCCCCCTCCACGACAACAGTAGCTCCGGCTTCCACAACTGCGACCCCGGCTACCACCATTTACCCCACGACTACATCTGTCGCTCCGGGTACCACAACTATTCCCCCCACGACTACAACTGCGACAATGGCTACCACTACAATGTTCCCCAGTACTACCACGGCAGCTCCGGCCACCACTACCATTTCCCCCACTACGACGACTGTAGCCCCTACGAACACCCCCACAACCGTGGACCCGACCACCAGCACCGCGAGTCCCGAGACCACGACCAGTATTTCCAGTACCACAACGTTCACTCCAACGAGCACAATGGCTACGACGACGCCATATCCGAGCACAACCGCGATCTCGTATCACGAGCCGCTGTACGTTCCAGGCAATTACACTGGCAATGGCACTAGCAATTCCAGCACTTCGAGTTCTTCCCCCGAAGACATTGTCTTTTGCGACCGAGTGAGTGTGGAGCGAGACGCCACTTACTGCATTTCTGGCCCCATTTGCAGCGGTAGTGGCGATGTGCCCCGCGGCGTCCAATGCCCTCAGGCTGGAGCCGTCGCTGTCGCCCAGTGTTTGCCGACCTTGAGCTCGTACAACGCCACGTTGGGACAGTGTATTGCGCCAGCAGCCGCCGTTTGCCAAAAACTCGTGGTCACGGACGCATGGGGCTGTGTCTTGCCTGCGTTCTAATCTCCATGGCTTTAATACATACACTTGCATGGACGGACTGCGTACAAACTGCAGTTAACAGCTCAATAAACGGAGGGACAATCAAACTCACTCCGACCTTGAAAGGCAAGGCAGGGAACGATCGAGCTTCACTGGAATGCCTCCTGCATCACATTACGATAGGTCACCCACATGGCGACACAATGAGGCACTCCGTCCGTCTAGAACTGTAGTCCTTGAGCGCTATCACTTGTGAAGCAGCACAATACAATTGTATTTGTTACCACATGTTGTACACAAACAATATCCAAGGCATTCGTCTACTAGTATTGATCAGACCACGTGGCTTCTTGGGCGCCTCGGACCAACGCCCAAACTCCGACAGCTCCAAGCAGACCCCAATCATTTCGCCAGACTTGAACAACTGCCACAACGTTATCACTTCGGCATTTGTTGTGTTTTTAGTATCGGAGCTTATGGTCACCTAGAAGGTATCCCTCACCTTGCGTATTTAGGTGAATTCTTCGAGCTATCGGAGTATAATGCAGTGACAGGACGAACAAGAACTAATTCAGTGACAGGACCAACTAACACGTATCCAGAGACAGGTCAGCGTTTGTCGACAGGACGCGCTCGGGACTTTGCATAGATGTTGGATTGAGTTCTGGGTGCCACAGAAGTACTCACAATCCAAATCGCCACCAGCGACCCAAACCACCATTGGCAACATGGTCTACCAATCCATGATCATGATCCTCGTTGGCGCGATCGCCTCGACCATGTCCGCGGCGTTTCAAGACGATTTCCCAGCCAGCGACGTGCAATTCGTGGAGCGCACCGGAGTTCCAACGCTTACCATTCGTCCCGACACTACCACCGCTTTCCCCCGCACGACTACAGCGTATCCGACCACAACGTTCTCCACAAGCACGACGACAGCCAGCCCGTTCACCACCCAAACTCCAACAACGACAACTAAGGCTCCGTCGACTACAGCTCCTCCGGTTACCTCAACCGCGACTCCTAGTACTACATCTGCGGCGCCGGCAACGACAACCACCTCACCCAGTACTACAACTTCTACTCCGACGACAACATCCTGGTCCGTTCTGACCACTACCTCAGCCCCGGGTACGACGACTGTAGCTCCAACTACTACACCTGCAGCCCGGGCTACCTCCACAATTTCGCCCATATCTACATCTGCAGGTCCGACTACCACCAGCATGAGTCCCACAACAACCCCGGCAGCTTCGGCTACCACTACCAATCCCCCCACGACTACAACTTCGAACCCGGCTACCACCACCACTTCCCCCTCCACGACAACAGTAGCTCCGGCTTCCACAACTGCGACCCCGGCTACCACCATTTACCCCACGACTACATCTGTCGCTCCGGGTACCACAACTATTCCCCCCACGACTACAACTGCGACAATGGCTACCACTACAATGTTCCCCAGTACTACCACGGCAGCTCCGGCCACCACTACCATTTCCCCCACTACGACGACTGTAGCCCCTACGAACACCCCCACAACCGTGGACCCGACCACCAGCACCGCGAGTCCCGAGACCACGACCAGTATTTCCAGTACCACAACGTTCACTCCAACGAGCACAATGGCTACGACGACGCCATATCCGAGCACAACCGCGATCTCGTATCACGAGCCGCTGTACGTTCCAGGCAATTACACTGGCAATGGCACTAGCAATTCCAGCACTTCGAGTTCTTCCCCCGAAGACATTGTCTTTTGCGACCGAGTGAGTGTGGAGCGAGACGCCACTTACTGCATTTCTGGCCCCATTTGCAGCGGTAGTGGCGATGTGCCCCGCGGCGTCCAATGCCCTCAGGCTGGAGCCGTCGCTGTCGCCCAGTGTTTGCCAACCTTGAGCTCGTATAACGAGCCGCTGCTGGCGCAGTGTATTGCGCCAGCAGCCGCCGTTTGCCAAAAACTCGTGGTCACGGACGCATGGGGCTGTGTCTTGCCAGGAGGCTGCGGGAAATGATCAACTTTACAATCCTCAAACGATATGGCAGTACGTTGTTCATCATCACCACACAACACGCTAGAATCAAATCGAGTTGAGCCTGAGGAATAAAGCGATGTGCACTGCTTTTAATTGCCATTTTGAAGGATTGGCATCGTCCTCAATTCATTGCGGTGAGTTGCTTGGCTGCACAGAAAACGGTTGAATAAGTTATTAAATATATGACATTTAAATGTTAGAAAATTATAACCTAACATATCAATGTATGCTATAAATTATAGCTCAAGATGACAATAATTGTTTGTCACATCTTTCACGCTATATTTGAAGTTTTCGCCAAAATGAGTCTTTAATGTGCTGCTTTGTGGCTCAGAGATCACTGATCAACGCAAGAACATGGTAGCCTGTACAGCAGCAATGATATTTTTTAATAAAGCGGCATGGACGGTGTTACGATGCTTATTGCGAGATATAATCACACCCAAAGTAAGCTATATTTCAGTTTTTTGGCATGTTTGAGGTCACTTCACGCATGCTAAATAAGTGCAATCACCACACATCACGTCTGGTTATATAGCCCGCAGCCATCTCTTCAGTTTTCATATTAAATGTATCACGCCCAGGCAAACCGTTGCTGAGTAATTCAACGACAAAGTCATGTACTTTCTCGATAGTTAACATTGTCATAAATTATGACAAACATTGATGTTAACTTACGTTAACTTGATGCTATATTATCTTAAATTATGACATACTTATTTTATATTAAAAAACGTAACGCTATTCTCATGGAATGTAGTGGATACTTTTCCAAAAAGCATCGTAACTGGCGGGCAAAATTTGAAGGCCATACGTATACGTTTTGAACAGCGGAATCGAATACAACTCGCCTTGCACCAAAATTCAATTCCTTCGTCTATTCATACGTTGATCCTCGCTTATGTCGCCAAGGATGGCTATGTTCGTCATTTCCCGCAGCCTCCAGCATTCTAACCTCCATTACTACTACTTTAATACATACACTAACTTATGAATGGATGCATCTTATAGAATATACACAATATATTCTATAAGATGCATCCAGAATATACACAATAAAATATACTACGTAGTACTACAGTAGTAGTTACGTAAACGCCCAACAGTATGATACACCAAATATACAGTTTATACTGGTAGGATTTCCCCATGAGATTAGCTGTCTGTCAATAATGTCACATAGTTTAATCAAGACGAAAACCGAGGTCAAGATAATCTTGCATAGTTAAATCAAGATGAAGATTGAGGTCAATATAATCTAGCATGTTTTAATCAAGATCACACATTCGGTCAAAAACTGAATGGTCCAACTATACCTTTGCTGGTCTACTCAAAGGTGTGATAGTCAGTGCAACACTAATTTAATTATCTGAACCAAACCCGAAGGTACAACATACTATACCTATATGCCTTATACGCACTTTTCAACGACATTCTTGCACTCAACAGGAATGCGTTGGGCGATCAATACTTTACCGAAATCCGCGAGCACTGGTGATGCACCACACCCCTGAAAATGAAGACTGCACTTAGACCTAACTTATGTGCTATAGGTTGCAGATTGCCAGGGTTCCGAGGTGTTAGGCTCTTCGTGGGGAACGTTGTTGTGTATACATTTCATTTGTTTCGAGGTAAGTGATATTTCATCCGTGAAGCGCCATTCCTAGTTCCTACCAGCACACTAGCGCAGTGGCATGTTTACGTAGTACTTCGTAGCTCTCTTTGCAACTTGGCTATTGCGCGTGGTAGGACGAGCCGGTTCTCAACCTGGTTCGATTGTTGTACTTCCGTAAGTCCGGGTGGTGTACCTTCGTTTTCCACAATGAATTGACGTGCAAAACGGCTCCAATGAGATCCGTGCAGTCGATACATTGGTGGTAAGCTAAACGAATACAACGTAGTAAGAACTAGCAGCTTGGCTATTCCAATACGCATACTGTGTTCCACTAAGATAAGTCGATATTGTTCATTCGATTTGAAATTGGTGTGTAATGCTCAATAGAATAGAAGTACCAAATCGCCAGAGAATCGATCGACCAGTCAAAACACAAGACATGAATCAACTAGCCAATCAAATCCACTCTTCGAATAAGTCAATATCGAATAAGTTTGTGTGATTGGAAGTAGAGTGATACTGGACGACCTTTACATAGAAAAGTCAGTACAATGAATCGATAGATTTGGCGAATCAGCACAAATGTCCAAATATTGGGTAAAAGGACAATATCAGTGTTTTCGCTCCCGTCGTTATCCGGACGGGAACCTCTTGCGGAGGCCGAATTAAATTGCAAACTGAGGTCTCTTACTACGAATTACTTTTTCTGGTCTATTTTAAGTCTAATCATTTCGTCCAATGAAAATGCGCCAACAATGCACATCTTTCAACCGCACGACAATGGCTACAATCGCACGACGAATGGCGGCCTACTGT